ACGAAAAAAAAATCTGGGGACGGCCGTCCTATTTGTATTTTTTTGAATTGATAAAATAGACTATTATTGTCTTGACCTGAGTGATGTCGTTGTGTGAGTAAAAGACACGAAGCTCGCTGTCATGTTTTCGTTTAAAAACTTGTTTATTAAAAATAAAAATATTGTATGTATCACATTATGAATTGATCACATGATTATGATTTTGCGATTTCCCTATAACGGTCTCTCTCTCTATAACGGCCTTTTTTTTGCCAAAACAGAAGGACCGTTATAGAGAGTGTGTATTGTATTAATTGTTTATTTTACTATTAAATAAAAATAATATATTAAAACTTAAATAAATATTAAATTTTCATTTTCTATTTTAAATTCACATTACATTTTCATTCCTTTAAATTATTTAATTACATAATAATAAGATCATTTTCTTCTTGCTGATCTTGTTGATCGTACCATAATTCAAATTTTTCATTATTACTACTACTACTGGGTTTTTTTTTATCAATTTTATAGATTGAAATAGCAATTTGAAATTCTAAATCATTTGTTATTTTAACAAAGTTATTAAAGTAATCTTTATACTTTAATTGTTTGATTGTACCTGTAGCAAAATTGTATGATTTTTCTATTAAATTTGTTAGATTGGAAAGTTTGTAGGAATTGGTGATGAGATAGTTTTTGATTTCATCAGTGTTGCTATGATGTAACTTTATAATTAATTGTTCTTCCTAATCGTTTAGATATTATTATATAAAAGAGAGATTTGTTTAGTCAATCAGTCAATTAATCAATCAATTAATCAATCAATTCATCAATCAATAATCAATCAATTAATCAATCATATAATGAATTAGAATAAGAATAAAAACCAACTTGCATTTTTTTCACTCTTAATTTTTTCCTTATTATCATCATTATCATTGTTATCATTAATATCACCATTACCATTATTAACATCCTCAACTTCAAGATCATCAAACAATTTAATTAAATCAACTTCGACATTATTATTTGAAGAAGTATTGTTATTATTGCTATTGTTATTATTGCTACTGTTGTTATTATTGCCATTTTTATTGTTTTTTGGAGTTATGATTTTGAATTTTTGATAACAAAATTTGTCACTGTCACTATTATTATTATAATTATTAAATCCTTTTTTATTTTCATCATAATCATTCATATATTTATTGTTATTACTATTATTATAATTGTGATTATTATCACCATACTTCTTATTTTTATTAAAATTACTATCATGCTTTTTTTTACTATTATTGTTACAATCTGAAATTTTCCCCCAACCAACTTTCCAATTTGAGTAAGATTTATTTTTTCTAGCTTTTATCATATAATTTATGTGTAATCCTGCTATATCAATTTCTTGTTCTGATACATCTTTATGCATATATAAAGTAATTGATTTTGCACTTTCTTTATATGATTTTAAAATGTTAAAGTTTTAGATTATATTGATATTGATATGTAAAATTATTATATGCATATATAAACTTACTCATGTTTCCAGTAATTACTTTTTTCTTTCCAACTGTGTACTCTGAATTCCAATTATAATTAATCTACGCATTGATAAAAATGATAGTTAATAATAATAATATATAGTAATATATGTATATATATATATATTTATTTATATTATTATTACTATTAATTATATTATTATTTACCAAACATTTATCCTCATCATTTAAATATAGACAAATAACTCTATCACTGATTTTTTCAATTCCTCCTAAAACTCTAAGAGGGATAAAAACTTGCCCACCCTGTACCAAGTACAAAGCCAATTTTTGTTCTGAATATTTATATCGAAATTTTGGTAATCCAACAGATTTATTGTTATTATAAGATTTGTCTAGTTTGTTGGTTTCTTGAAATGAATCAATTTCTAGTAAAGCCAAGTGTAATTGAATAACTGGTGATTTTGCCTTCCATGAACATATATAACTTGCATATGGTTTATGAATTGGCATTTTTGTAATACTAGTATCAGAATCATTATTATTAATTGTTGTTGTTGATGATGATGATGATGATCTTGTTGTTGTTGTTGTTGTTGTGGATGAAGATGAAGATGACCTTTGATTGTAGAAAGCTTTTGTTGGTGGTGGTAGCTGTTGTTTTTGTGGTGGTGGTGGTGGTGGTGATGATGATGATGAAAATGATGAATATGACTGTTGATGATTTGAATGATAATAAAATTTTGGTAAATTGTAGTTGTTGTTATAATCCATAATATTACTGTCATGATAGTTAAGCTTAATATTAATTTTATTAATATTATCAATATTTAAATCATCATCATTATCATCATAATTATCTTTAATAATAATATTATTATTAATATTTGCTATAGCTGTTTCTTGTCCTTCTTTAACTATAGTTGTTACCTCATCATTTTCTTCTAATTCTTCTTGTTGCTGTTGTTTTTGTTGTTTCCCATCATTATTACCATTACTAATTTTGTAAATATAATTTTCTCTCTTTGCCTGTTAAAATTTTATTTTATTTTATTTTTTTCCCAAATATTGTTATTAAATAGACTATTATCATTATCATTATCATCATCATCAAAAAATACAAACCTCCATATTTTTCCTTTTTCAACCCTTTGGGAATTTTTTATTTTTTTTTTTGGAGATAAATTTTTATGCAATCACCACTCGCCACAAAATAATTTTATATAAGTTTTCTAACGCCACAATTGTATAACACATCGTCTTGACATGAAGAGTGTGAGCCAATATTTAAAAATGATAAAACTTTAGTATTTCTTGCTAATTTTGGAAATCTTTTGATTTTTTTCCCACGATACTTAATAATTGAACTCATAAAAAAAAGCCCATCAAACAATCTCTCGAATTTTTATAACGCCAGTATTAGAAACTTCAAAAAGAAAAAGTTGAAATTTTTGAATGCCCGCCCATCCAATCAAATTATTTAATTATTTGAAAAGTTTAATTAAATTTGGGGTGGGTGCTTGAATACAAATTCTGATTGGCTAATTTGAATTTCACGCGCGTGAATTTCAAAATTGACGCAGATTTCAAATTTCACGCACAACAGAAATATTTCATTTGAAAGTGATCTAAAATATTGGATCTGAATCTGATCAGAAATATCTTATTTTTATGAATTAAAGAAATTATTTTTTAAGGTTTAAGCGCTTCTTCGAGCACGCAGAGACAACCTAGATTTAGAGCAAGCGATACATTTCTGGCATGAGAATGAATTTTACAGACATAAGATGCTGGTCGGTGAGTTGTTGCTAAATTTTTATCATTAAAAATATTTGCATCGAAAAAAAAGATCAAAGCTCTTCTACATCAAAATTTGTCAACCCAACAAGCAATGATGTATGACGAAACTTTTGACTTTAGTAACTAAAGTATTGGCTAAAGGTAGTTTCTCATCAGGATCATTTTGAAGATTTGACTAAAGTAAAAGCCCTTGACGCAAGTAAACTATTTGATGTAAGTAGGAACACTTGATGCAAGTAAAAACGCTTGATACAAGCAGCAATAATGATAATGATAAAATATGATTATCAAAAGTGTAAAATGTGTGTCCCGAGGATGAATAAAGAATTATTATATCATTGTATGTATATTGCGTTATCAAAAATAAATATCATGGGAAGTTTACAAATGTTATATATAATTTGAATTAGAACTTTTACTACATATTTTTTACAAATTAAAACCATTCCTTTATTATTTTAAATTTTTGACTTTGAAGTTAGCTACACATAATAATAATACGCAAATAATATAATAATATGCTTGAACAGTCTTTGGTGTAGGTTGATCAATATTGGTACTTGGAACGACCTTTACATAGCACATAAGACAGATTTTGATGCATGTTTTAATTTTGTTTTCTATTTTTATCACTTTTAAATCTTTAAAGAATGCTGAAATTCTTTATTTTTGAATCAATTACTAGAGTTTGGTGGTGATGAAGTTGCTCTTTAAATAATGTATGCTATTATTATTATTATCAAATGTTGTACAAAAAAATGTGTTACATGTTACTCTTATTCTTCGCAAAGAAAAAGAAAATAGTGTAACCGTTATTCCCCACATTCATTAAAACATCAAGTCGACTTTTATATTTTATATTCAATATAATGTCACATTATAAATTATTATTATCGTTATCATCAGAAAGGAATAAATTTGTATGTAGAATTTATAATGAAATGCGTAATGATGCTAATGTTAATTCTGATAGAGAAAGTAGAAAAGATTATTTTTTTTCATTAGTTGAGAAAAATAAGAGGCTTTTTGAAAATGAAAAAGAATATTGTAAGGAAAGGATTATTTATAATTTTGAATTAAATAGTGCAATAAATAAAGAAGGAAAACCAAAAGAATGTAACAAGTGTAAATTGACAAAATACTCTGATAGGTTCTGTGAAGGTTGTATTAGTTTACAATTACAGAGTCTTTTCACCACTTGGACTTCTGGAAATAACATAGTTGATAACTTTATTCAACAATCTCAAATGAAATCATCTCTGCCAAACTTCATTTTAGAATGGATACCTTTTGAGCAATTTGATGATATAACAAAGTTGACAGAAGGTGGATTTAGTTCAATTTATGCTGCTACATGGATAAGAGGAAGAATAGTTGATTATGACGAAAATAAAAAGGAATTTAATTATCTTGGAGGTAGAGGGGAATTAGTAGTATTAAAGATTTTAAATGATTCAAGTAACCCAGGAAAAGGCTTTTTTGATGAGGTTGGTAGTTGTCATTAAAACAATACTGTATTATACAATACTAATTGATTTTTTTATTCAATTTCAGGCAATGAATTATTATAAAATTAAATCACACATGATTAATCCTTGCTATGGTGTAACCAAATTCCCAGATAATGGAAATTATGCAATAGTTTTATCTTATGCTTCAGAGGGAAGTTTAAGGGGTTATTTACAAAAAAATCATTTAAATTTAACATTAAAAGACAGAATTGGAATATTTTATCATTTATGTTATGCATTAGATGATATACATGAAAAGGATTTAATCCATTGTGATTTACATAGTGGTAATATACTTGTGCAAGGTGGTAGATGTTTTATTACAGATTTGGGATTATGTGGACCAGTTGATGAAAAATCATCCGATAAAGTCTATGGAATTGTACCATATGTTGCACCCGAAGTACTTGGAGGCAAAAAGAACACCAAAGAATCAGATATCTATAGTGCTGGGATGTTATTGTGGGAAATATTTGCAGGTCATTCACCATTTGATGACAGAGCTCACAATCATTGTTTGATTTTTGATATATGTACAGAAGGTTTACGACCACCAATATTACCTGAAATGCCTGATGATTATGTGCAAATGATGCAGAGGTGTTGGGATGTGGATCCATCAAAAAGACCAACGAGTGAAGAGCTTTATGATTTTGCCTATGATAAAAATAAGGAAACGCTTAAAAATAATAATGATGATGATAGTAATAATGTTACTAGTAGTTGTGGTAGAGTTGCTTCGCAACAAGTACACAAATCACATCCAGGTGCATGTCACGTGAGTAGAATATTAGATGAAGAGATTGCTAAATCTAAAAGCTTAAAAATTTATACAAGTAATGATAGTTTGTTAAATAATCTTGATTTTAACTCTTTTCTTTTAAATGATGATTTTAAGAAAGGTGAATAAAAATTTCATTATTAATCAATCGGAAATTACTATTCATTAATTATTATTAACAATATTAATTAATTAATTAATTAACATTAGATCCTATTAATAATAGTGAAGAAAGAATTGGTTAATGATTCCATTATAAATTTATTCATTATAATTATTTATCTTTATTTTATCTTTATTTTGTTTCTTAAAGCTAAATTATAATAATGTCTGAAATAATAAACTTTTTACAGTTTTTTGATTCTTGTTAAATGGTGATATTGAGAAACGACTCACAATAATTCAGTGCTTGTTAATTAATTAGATTACAAATTTACTGTCTCTTTCTTGTGTCTAGACAGGTTTGTAAGTACACTTAATAGTACCAGATAACTTAAATAAAGTAGCCCTTACAGAGCTCTTGAGCTTCCTTTTATCACTTTTTAATAGATTTATCTCAGCGTTTACATTTGCAAACTCGCTTTGATTTATTATCAAAATAATTTAAGTAGCTTGTTTTAACAGCCTTAAGCTTACGATTACAATAATACTACCAGTATTTCCAATTAACCTTTGGACGATACTTCATTAGTATTTACTAGTTAACCACGATAGCCCTTATCCTTCCTTGCTTACTAAAGCAAATAAAACGTGACTTTTTACCACAATTGTTACATTTTACCAAGGTACTAACCAACTACATTAAAGAAAATAAAAGACAATGTTTTATTATTAATTTTATTTAATAAAAATAATTACCATTCAAGTAATGAAATTTTCGTTAACCATAGTAACTTAATAAAAATTTCCATAATGATAATGATTTACACAGTAATAGCGTAAAGTTTTCATTCGATAATAGTCTTCAAAGTATAATAATTATTTTAAAATTAGTTGAAATGATTTACCTCAATCATGTACGCCATTAATATCATTATTAATGTAAGGAATGTTCGAGTGTGGTAGTAAATGAGTATGTGGGAACTGAATTAGTATTCAGCAAAAAAAAATTTAGTTCCTTGGGAACAGCTATGAAACAATGGAGATCGAAGACAATGAAATATCTATTTATATGAACTTTTATATTTTATTGACCTTTAAAGCAATTTTATTTACATCAAGTGTTTTTACTTGCGTCAAGGTTTTTACTTGCAACGAATTTGACGTAATAGTTTTCAACCTTGGTAACATTTCGTCAAACAACATTAGTATTTACCTAATCTACGCTTTTGGGATATTGAATAATTAAGAAGTTATCACGAAACCAATAAAAAACTCGGTAAAGCTGTTAAGAAATTTTGAACTTTCTTTGTGTCATAATGTTCATTTTGACTGGTTTTGTTCCGGTATGCTCCACATAACGATAAATCAACGTAATTACCAAATTTTCATTTTAAAATTTTCTTGCAATTTACCTATAATCAATTGTGCGCATGTACGATCTTTAATACTTTCCTTAACCTTCTCCATATAATTATCATATTCATGGGAGCTAAATCAAGATAACTAAATGAATATTTAGAATTTTTAAACTCCACAAAGCGATAAGGTCAAAAGAAACTTTAGCAATATTATTTTCTAAATCATTATCCTAATGACCCGATACATTGTAATGTTTTTTTAAAAAAAATTGTACATTAGTTAGAATGTCTGAATGCTCTTTAACAAGATATTCTTTATAAGTTTATTTTTTTAATTAGAAATTTTCGGGATTCGTTACAATTACATTTATAAAATGAAAGTGTGTTTTCCATAATAAAGTCCAAGGCTTCAGTAACCTATATATAGCTTTTGACCAACCATTTTTATTGATAAGTAAGATTACATAAATCTCATAAACACATGATCAATGTGTTTGATTCAATACTTAATCCAGAAGAAATGAGGCTTTTTAGACAAACTAGAAAAAGGATACTTCGATGGAAACTAATAAAGGCACA